GCCAGCTTTAGCTCTGAGGGTTCAGCTCCAGCTCTGAGGCCTTCGGTGCTGAAAGCAGGTTTCTGGCCTAGTGTTTACCTTCTGTATTTGAAACAATGTTGCGGTCCTGCTGGCTGAAGCCTGGCTGACTAAAGCAGGTTTCTGGGGTTTGGTTTAGCTTCTATATTTGTTACAATGTTTCTTAGAGTTGCAGCTCAGAGGCTGGCAAGGCAGGCCGGGAAAGCTTGGCTTCCTCCATCACTGAAGCAAGCAAGCCTCCCTGTTTGCGTCAGCTGCCTGGCTGCCGGCCGCCATCTTGGTTGGCAGTTAATTTGCATATCTCCCTGATTAGCCGATGGGAAGGGTAGTGGAGGTATGGCTAATTATCATGTTTCTCTTTTATTAGATAGGATACCTACACACATACACTTACACCCATATACCATACACACACACTACACAAACCACACAAATGCCACATGGAACACAGCTACTTCACCACAAATGAATTCTCCTAGTACATAAACTTGGCTTGTTCCCAGGCTTACACAGACCCTGACTTCTTCTCCCCAGCTCCTCTCACCTGTCAAAAGGGGGTCATTCTGTTAGCTTTCAACATTGGAGTCAGATCTTGAGGGTTGCATTTGCTTTCCCTAGTTCAGTTCAGTTTAGCAGTTTAATAAGTATTTATTGAGCAATGGCAAGATCAGGTGTCAGAATCTGGGGTACAATGAGATGTCATGGAGACAGAAGGTCAGTGAAGGGTTACAGGCCGCTCTTGTGAAGACCTGGGGCTAAAAGACAGCTGGGTGCAAGGGGACAGACTGCCCAAACAGGCCATGGCAGGAACCCACTGAAGTAGAACCATAGGGCTGGAATATGAATGGCCTTGACTGCCCCAACAAGGAGCTGAGCAGTGGTCCCAGTGAAGGCTATGAATCCACACAGTCAGGGAGAGCACAACAGTTAAGAGTCTAGTTAGTGTCTGAATCCAAGAGATGTAGGCTCCTGTCTGGTTCTTCCACTGAAACAGCTTTGGAGGATCACTACCTCTTTGAGCCCCTTTCACCAAATTCAAGGAGAAAGGGGTGATTACAGACAGTCAGGAGCAAAGGAGTATATGAAAAGGCCCTGGGGTGTGTGGGTACCTGCCACTTGTTCAAGGAAGAGCCCAGATCCCCATGCGACTCTAAGTAGTGTATTCAAAAGAGATCACAGCAGGACATGTGGTTGGAGAGGCAGGGCCTTTGGGGCCATTTTAAGGACTTAAATTTTTTTCTGAGTGGGGTGGGAACCTACTAAATCTTCTTATCAGAGGAGTCACATGAATTAACTTACCTTTTATGAGGATCCTTCTAACTGTTGGGTGAAAACTACAGTAAGGGGAAGTTGGGAGTGGGGGAGGGGACCTCCAGAGACACTCAGAAGGAATCAGATTAGAGGCAATGGGGTCTTGGACTCTAGTGGAAGCAGCAGAGGTGATGAAAAGTGGTCAGGGTCTGGCAGTATTATGCAGCTTAAGGCAACAGGATATCCTAATGGGTGCAACATGGGGTGTAAGACATAGAGAATTGTTTAAAATGACAGCAATGTTCTCAATTTGAGCAATTACAAAACAGGAGCTACTATTGACCAAGACACGAAAGGTGGTGGCAGAGAGAGTGGGGCCAGGCTGGGAGGAGGGCAGTAGGAGCCATGATACTGTGGTCTGTGAAGTGGAGAAGTGAGCGGCCCTGCTTCTGGGGCTGTTTTGAAGGTTACCATGTAGGTGGATGCTATATCGTCAGCCCAGGAGTTTATACATCATGGGACACATCCATGCTGGCGATGTGATGGCCTTAAGTGAAGGCTCCTGGGTTTTCAGAGTGGACTCCTCCTGAGGGCCCCAGAGGCCACAGTAGCTAAAGGATAGTCATTAATCACTGTCTTCCCCGTCACTC